AGACCCACTCTTCAGGATCCTGAAGCGAGGCGAGTTGCAAAGTGTGCCGTGTAAGTGGAACATCGCTGCCTGGTACCGACGACGAAGTATACCAAAGTAGTATAACATGGTCCTCCTCCTTCGTCGTTTCCTCTTTGCCCTTCTCTCTCCTCGTCATTCTCTTACCACCACCTCATCATCCTCCTCCTTCTTTTCCTTCTCCAGCCGACAACGACACTCCGGCGCTCCTCCTTCGCGTACACGGTGAAAGACTTTCTTTAAGGAGGTTCCACAATAAAAACTTACACGCCGCCTGTTGCCTACCGGCGCCGTGCACACTCACCGCCAAGAAAGAATTGTCCATTGTCTCCTTTGACTGCCGTAATTGATGCCGGGTCCTCCACGTTGCATCCGGTTGCGTCTTTCCCGATATTGCCGGAGATATAATAAAAATGAAATCCTCTCGTGGCAGATGCAATAGACACGCCGCGTTGATTCGACCATGCATATACGCTTCTTTTCATCCGAAAAATCATTCCATCGGATATCGCGGATGTCGACTTGACGCGGTTGTCCCGCTCGCGAGGATTCGAGGAAAGTATTACGGGTATAACGGGCACGGAGAGAAGTTTTGTGTATATCAAAGAAACGCGACGGAAATCTCTTCCGCAGATTAATTTCGCGGCATTATTAGGAAGGATGACTATGTAATACTTTATTATCTTATTACACGCGATATAAGGAAGAGATTTGGCGCATTCCGTATAATTGTCCGATCTGCAACAATATTTACTTACAAATTCTTTTACAATCGTGTCTAAAGGACACTTTACCGAGAGATAATTCTATATTTTGTTTGAATGCAATTTGTTGCACAAAAATCCTACTCGCGAAGAATTCTTTCTTTCGTTCAAATTCAGTAATTAATGCACTGCTGAAAGCAAGTTTGCTGAAAGTAATTAGGGGATTATTCCTTTAAAAGTCTTCGAAAATCTGCATTTTATAGAAAAGCTAAGAAATTAAAGTATCGTATTTAATATGTTTATTACGAGGGCGTTCTGAATGATATGCTAAAAATATTCGAACTTTCAGATGTATACTATACATTCATTAGAAGTGTTTCGCTAATTGTTTTCAGCAGTGTATCATACGCCTCTCTCTCTCATATATCTAGGCTACTAAACTAACAGATGCTATCGCTAGGATCCCGCAAATAAATTACACAATCATTATAACTAATAAAAGGCACTAACTGAGCGTATTCAATATAGCGCACACAGTCCAACACAAAATTTATTCCCTCTCCTTATCTTCTTTCTCTCGCCGTCTGACGAACATCGATGAACAGCAATCCGATATCGTCACGCCACAGGATGAATCGATATCTCAGGGCCTTTTACACATCCGTGATGGAGAGGGAGAGGAGGTCCGATATTGAAGGTTGTGGGTACGAACCTTCGCCAGAGTGGGCCCGAAAAATTTGGGTCACTGGTCCGACTTGGGCACGTCATGGGAACCGCGGTACCACGAGTTTTCCTCCCTCCTCTTGATAGTTTAGCCTCCACTCGTTTGAGTCATCGACGTGTCGGTCCATCATCTTCATTCTCGCTTCACCTCTTTGTTTACTCCTTCTTCACGCTCCTAGTCGGGGACCACGCAGTAATCGCTAAATAATATGTGAAATGATACTTACGAAAGCACATCACTCATCCTGATTTTTTTTTTGCTGTTTTTTTTTTAATAGAACGTCACGAGCAGCGCACTCTCTTCAGGATTCGCACTTATCTCCAGTAATTTATCTTTCACAGTACTGCCGCTATTATTCCATATAACGTCATCTTTTTCTAATTATTTGCATCTGCCGTACAGCTATTTAATCATCTGCTTTGCATCTTCTTCACGGTGACGTGCTCTCTCAATTATCCTTACGCCATTTTTTACAACACTCTTTATTTGTTTTGCAATTACTTACGACGTTACGCGCGGCTGTTATACTTGTTCCAAGTATCGATACTCTAGTGCCTTATATGTTCGTTACATGAATTAATCAACAGTACAGTTAGACGCATTGTTACCATGCCTCTGTTTACAATTCGCGTGTACGATTACAAGAGCCATTCGCGTCTCATTGTCGAGCAGAAGTAAAAGATCCATGTCTCTCTCTCTCTCTCTCTCTCTCTCCCTCTTTCTCTTCTCATCTCTTTCTCGGCATCTTCGTCTTTACGTCTTCTGAATCTACATCTCTCCTTATTCCACACCGAAGAGACAACATCGCACGGACCGTATAACCTTCGGGACCGTAAACCCGTTATATCATTATATTCAACAATAATCCGCGGTCCATATACCAAGCACAAACATCGGGACAAACCGCCACGCAAACTGTCCCAGATCCCTTTTCAACGTCGTCCTTTGTTAGAGGTCGGTAATTTGGCCCTGTTGTTTGCCTCAGAGTGACACTCGTATCCAAAGCTCCGGAAGCTGACGGCCACGATGACTATCCGAAAATAAATTCCCCGAGCACCGCTAGCGAGATTCCATGTACACAGCGATAACATCGACAGTGTGTGTGATGATTTGACCGAACACCGTGACGTGCAAATTTATCCCGAATTTAATTGCAATTCGAACAATAAAATTTCGCGGAAAAAACGTATTTACGATGTCGAGCGATCAAGTATCCCACGAGAAACCGCATTGCATGCGACGGACGCACCCGGATCTTCATGCCTCTTTTGCCTTTACCTCACCTTTATTACACCTTAAACGTAACGGTAAATTGAAAAAAATCAATTGTCCATATTCCATATGAAGGCTTTACATTAAAATCCTACGTGTCATAATATTACGTTTTCAAATCTCAGAAATGTACACATCATGTGTTTATCATTATTCTTTCTGTCGAGCAATCTTTCCGACCGGAATTTCCGTCGCCACGAATAATATTTTTAGCCATTATTTATTTTTGCTGTGCAATATCACCAATATTTTAATAAAACGCCGCTGCCAAGTCGATTATTACGAAATTGCTGGTCGAGAGACCCGAAGAATGCCTGAAAGATAGAGAGCGAAGGAATGGTAAGAAGGGTATCAGCACGAGAGAAAAATGACAAGATTGTATTGCGGTAACAATCATTTAATTGAACATAATCAAGTTTTCATAAATAATGCACATGTACAATGCATATGACTTTATACAAATTATGTTCCGTGATCAGCAGCAACGAGAATTCGAGGATCGAGTAGCGTGAGAATCGCATCATGTATAGCAAGCAAGTATCCGCGAGCTCGACGACTAATACCAAAGATCCTGTCATTGTGAAAATTATCTCGTCGATCCATCGAAAACTCGCACCTTAAAAACACGACGTACTCATCAGCTAAAAGGTTGCAATACTTTTTTTCGGAACTCAGTCTTTCTCGTAGAGCGATTGAATGTAAATGATTAGACCAATAAGTGAGAGAACCAATCGCTCGATAAGCAGGTTGCATTCCGAAGCGGGAAAAAAAATGTTGCAACTTTTCAGCTGACGGATATACATCTTCGATTTAATATTACAGGAAAAAAGAGACCCGTACATAGATCCTTTTATCGCAGGACCGTGAGGGAAGTGCAGCAAAAGGCCATTGCACGTAAGAGTCGTAATCTTAATCGTAAGACCGTAAAAAGCGATAAATTAATTGGCTACTGATCGGGGCTAATTGTAAACATTACCGCGTCCTCCGCAGAAGCAACTCGAGTGAAACGTCATAATTTCAAAGCCGTGACCATAGGCTGTTCCAAAATTGACTGCCTGTACCGAAAACCTATACAAACAACATAAATTATAGCATTTTCAGCAATAAATTTTGAATTCAGTTATAGTCGCAAGTTTTCGTCCCGTTTTAATTAACGCCTTATCTTTGACCAATCAATAGGAAGTCACGTGACTTATCGTCACCAATCAATTTAACGCATTTTATAATCTTACGTTTACGATTAAAACTTTTACGTGCAATGGCCTTAAATATCTTGTACAATATTTTACACACGGTGTGAGGTCGTAAGCTAAGAAAGAGAAAAAAAGGAGATGAGGGAAGGAAGCTTAAATAAAAACGACTATCTTACAAGGTACGCGGAGTAAAGTACCGAGGGAAGATAAATAAAGTGGGAGTAGGACGTTGAAGGAGCGTAAAATAAAAGCAATATAAATAAAAGAGAAGAAGCTATCCATTAACGCTATACTCGAGTTTAGGTACATCTTGAGCGCGAGCAACACGCGCCCGACTGCGTCTTAACATTGAATTAATCAAATAATTAATTCTTTTGCTTTCGTCTACCCTATAGCGCTCAATGACGTCGAATTACATCGAGAAGTTGTATCTCGATGTAACGCGGCGTTATTTGAATATTATAGAATAAAAGAAAACGAAGAAAATTGCTAGTCTCGTATAACATTTCTACTTGAATATTTGAGGTGGAGACGGGACCGAGATTTTTATTTTTAAAATTATCGGCTATAACCTAAGTAATATACATGGATACAATTTATTTTAAATAATAAAATTTCCAAATTCAGCTTATTTCGCGCCAAGCTTAATATTACAAATTTTATTAGTTAAAATATTCCTCGTAAGATACAGATGCCGCAATGAACTGAATTGATATCACTTGTTGGATTATTTATATGTATCGTCCGCCCAAGATCCAAGAAACTACTCACTGTTCTTGCTCTTCGAACATAACGAACGTGTGATGAAAACCAATATAATACAGTACAGCCGCTATAGTAACACAGTAATCAAATTAGTAAAATGAAATTATTTCCAGATAAAAAATTAATCATCGTCAACGATTCACCCATATGTTTCTAGCTCTAAAAAAAATTATCACATAACAGAAAAATAGAAAGAAAAAAAATACTATTAAATAATTAAAAATTTTTTAAATTTTTCTGTTCGTCTCGACATATATAAATAAATATTTATATATATATATATATATTTATACATGAAATTTTTCTTATACACATACATGTACAGATATTTGTGGATGTATGTATAAGTAAAATTTCCTAAAAATTCTTCTTATACCGCGTATACGGAGTCTGGAACGAAATCGCGTTTGCGAATAAGAATGACGGCACTGAGAAGTCATGCATCGATGAAATCATCAAAGATATTTCCAAATAAGTCATACTTGAAGCTGATCAATATTGAAGACACTAATTGCTTCATTATTGCACCTGCGCTTCAAGAATCACTTGTCCACCATTCAGGCATCAGGCTAACAGTTCAATTGAGAATCATATTTTGATATAAATTATTAGTAGAATTCAACTGTATCTTTAATACGTGAGTTAGTCCGTACTTGTAAGTAGTCTGATACAATTTTACGCAATGCATTACTGGACCGTGAGTTCCAAATATTATTGAATACCTAATAAGACATAACAATAGAGAATAACAATTATCTTATTCTGTATTGTTATTTCTGATCAAGATTCGTTGATATTCAGAGCTTGAATGTCAAGCAGCTCGTCATTGCAATTCTATCAGACCATTTTTCGAAGCTATTAAAGATACAGATTTTGCAATATTTATTTTGATTCCGATGATTAAAATTGTTCACTCAATCAATTGACATATTTCATCATAAGTACATAACGTACTTCAGTGTGTCATATGTTTCTTGTGTTCAAATGTTCTTATTATGTATATTCATCTATTTTACTTAACTATTGTAGACTATGTTATTAAATTATCTTATTAAATATGTTTGTATAATTGAAAAAAAAAAACATCTAATCCCTTCCAATTCTTTTGTGAATCTGCTGATGTTTAATAAGATGTGCCTTTTGCCTGAATGCTTTGTTACATACATCGCATCTGAATGGTTTCTCACCCGTATGCGTACGCAGGTGTACTTTAATATTGCTTTTATTTAGGAAACCTCTTTGACAGATATGACACCGATGTATTGGCTTATCCTTGCCACTCATTAAACTCGATTCCGTTCCATATTGTACCCCCACAGCACCGGCTGTCGGACCCTTCTTTGAGGGCGAGCCCCCAGAGCCTGGCGAGGATCGTGACCTCTTTCTGGGGTGGGAGGGCGTGGCAAAAGACGAGTGCAGAATATCCTCGGGACTACAAGATGTAGATACCCGATTAGGCGGGCTAAGCGGTGGAAATGGGCTTGTTGACGAGGGGGTTTCACCACACGAAGCGTTCTGTAAATTTGTGGGGTTTCCAGACTGTTGCAACCTTGCCTGGAGTAAGGGCGCGTAATCAAGTTTAGTGGGATTTTGCGTGAGCAAATTTTGCAACGCCGAACCAGCATGTTGCTGCGTCTGCGTGGTCGGAGTCGTTGTCACATAAATTTGATGCGCGAACGTATTAGGCGAGGTTGTTTCTTGGGTCTTAGGTGAACAATCCGTAATCCAATCGGCGATGTCTATCCAATCCCTTGAAGCGTCTGTATCCTGCTCGGAACTGGGTCCATTTCCATTGCCTGGAACCGTCGTATCGGCTATCGCAGATCCGATGATCTGCGCTATATCGTCCATATCCTCGTAAATTATTTGCTGCGTGGATTGTGGCAGCTGTTGCTGTTGATTATGAGAATGATGATGCTGCGGTTGTTGATGATTTTGCTGTGGCTGTTGCTGCTGTTGTTGTTGCGACTGTTTCTGACTCGCCTGCGGACATGGAGTACTAGAAGACACTACAGGCGACTCAAAAAATTCTTGATTCGAGGATGGTGTGGGGGAGGCAGACGGCACATCAATCGACGATCTTTGACCAGACGAGGCTATTGTGTGATAGTGATGCCCAGGGATGCCATTGATTTGAAGATGTCCCGTGTAATTGGTAAAAGGTGGAAGCGGGAGCAGCTTCACGTCCGGCAATGACTGATCGGAGACTGTCGTAGCCAGGATCGAATCCCAGTTATCTTGAAATCCAACGGCCGTCTGTTTTGCATCTGGGACTCCTCCCTCCAGGAACTCTGGTCCATTTGTCCATGGTAACAGCAAACTATCAATCTCAGCTGGCGAATTACCCACCACGATCCCGGAACCTTGGCTACTATGAGGTGGTTCAACGCCAGATGAAGTCAGATGCGGCGGTGCCGCCGGTGGTCCTGATTGTGTCTCGTATTTCATCTCCGATACGATGTTCGATGTTGGCGAAATGTTGTCTAAATAATGCGGCAGGGCCGCGTGCTTTACCAGCGATGGATCGCTGGTGCTTCTTCCCGCGCAGAACGATTGCTGTTTAAAATTGCTACGATTACGGGCAGCAATGGTATCAGCCACGTTTGTATCTATCGCGGATGACTGTTCCTTTATCGTTGGACCCGTTTCCAAGAAGAAATTAGCGTTGTTCGCCCTGTAACGTGGTATCACCGGCGATTCTTGCTGCGATTGTGGCAGCTTATGCTGTTCTTCTATCACTGCCGTCTTCAGGGAGTGCTCTTTCAAGAAACGGTTCCTGTCCACGCAGGCGTTGTTACTGCTAGTACCTACGTTGGTGTTCAACAGGACTGAAAAAGGATTCCTATGCAGTGTGTTCGCCGTGACGTTATATCTCGTAACCGGAATGAATCGGGATGACGAGGATGATCCACCACACGACTGCTGTCGCTCTTCAGGACTTACGCCGTTAAACTCCGTCTTGTTCCTTGAAAAGTTTAAGGAACTGTACGTTAACGGTAACTGCTCATACGGCACGTTAGAGACAGTCGATGCCGCGTTGGTAGCGGTGATGCTACGCGTATTATTCGTCGACGTGGGCGACGTCGTGAATGTCGTTGTGAACGGGTTGGCAATACAAACTTTGTGCTTTTCGGAACACGCGTAGCCAGGTAGCTGTGACTGCGCGTTGTTTGTCTGCGTCAATGACGGCGCTAATACAGTATGTCCCGGCGAAATATTTTTGAAAGATGATGATGATGATGTAAGATTGTGATAGCCGGACGAATTTTGGACGTTGGTACCGTACACGTTTGTAGTGTTATTCAACGACTGGCACCCGGAATTGTACAACGAATTTTGATAGCCCTGAAAGTTACCGTCGGGGTTGGATAATTGTTGACGTGCGACTTGAAATGGAGGCCCAACCTGGTAGTTACTGTTGCTGTACTGCGATACCTGCTGGTGCTCGGAAAATTGCGAAGTCGGAGGAAACGACGGATGGAAATTCTTTCTACTGTCGAGACTGTTGCTACCACCAGCGAAGCTGTGGCACCCTGGAACACAGGAAGGACATCGATTGGTACTAGCAGATTATAAAGGTAACTTGAATAGGAATAGGCATATTGTGAAAAAAACGTATTCACTGTAAAAAAAAAACAAATGTTCACATTACATTTCCATTTGTGATTCATATATTTAAAATGTTTAAATATCTTCATTCTTATATATGTTTATTTCCTTGAGAGTTCAATATTATTTTATTTCACATGCTTTATATAAACCAAATTATATTGTATATTCTTATAAAAGAGAATATATGATAATAAATATTGCATATATGCAATATTTATTATCATATATTTTCATATATTCTATTTTATCTATATATGTGTATATACACACATATATATATATATATATATTAGGTGTTGGAATTAATTCGTAGCGTTTTTAATGAAAGAATGTTATTTATTTCACATGAGCATTAAAAAATACATTAATGAAAGTACTTCCCATCACTTGTAAAACGCTACGAATTAATTCCAACACCTAATATATGTGTATATATATATATAGATTTAACTATCGAATATATATGTAAAATAAATTCCCATGCAGCATAGACCTCCAAGAAATGTCTTAAAAACGTGCAAAAGACTCCACATTCCCTGAAATAAAAGTACTGTGCAATATACTATCAACTACATTACTATTTTTACAAATAAAACTACTACTACTTTTACTTCTTTTAAAAATATATATAATATAATGCTACTATAAAAATATAATAATCACTATATTATCACTAAACTATATTTTTTTAAATTAAATTAAATTAAAAATTAAATTATTACAAATAATGGAAGGGAACAAGAGATTCCACGTATATAAAGATGTAAAGAAAATTTCATTAAGGAACGCATGCGAACATTAAAAGAGAAAAAAGGGAGTTAAAAAGAGAGAAAAAGAATCTACGGGGAATTCCAATGTCTCCTCGAGATAAATGCTAAGGGAGAGAGAAGAAGAAAATGAATAGGAGCAAATCCGTGAGACAAGCGAGGCATGCCGCAAAGTATGATAGTAGTGGACGTAGTTTGTAGTGGACGTTTGTACGGTGAATAGGTAGGTAGGTCTGGCCGATACGATCCGACGATCACACTCGCACTTGCTTACATGCACGCATATACACGCGACCGCATGCGGATGCATCATGTTCGTGGCCACTTCACACACGTAAACACATGTCAGTGCGTATATACACATGACGCGTGTGTATATGCTGGGTAGGCGCAGATCCCTCTCTTCAAGAAGAAAGACTTGCTCCGGCTAACTGGGTTAGTGGCACATTAGCCAGCCACGGCCGAGTAAGTCGACCAAATTGCTGCGTTTAAAAATATATTTTTATACCGAACTATCGGCGAGATAAAGGGAAACCTGGAAGAAGGGACAGTAAGATATTTCATCTCGATCAGTACTAAGATTAATTCATGCCATCATTCTGATTTTTATATTTAATCCTATGCCCGAATTTTTTTAAAATTATGAGCACAATATATTCAATATCTTATAATATATATAATCATAAAATGATTAACATGAAGTAAAAGAAAAGAATAAAATAAATAATTAAAATGGTACGAAATAATATATGTGTATAAAAATGATATAAAAAATAAATAAATAATAAATAAAACAAAATATAACAAATAAAATAAAATAAATAATATAATATAAAAATATAATAATGTAATATAAAATATATTAAAGAAATAATATAATGTGAAATAAAATAATGCAATAAAATAATGTAAAGTATATAAGTTAAAGGAATTCGGAACTGATATCGTTTAGATATTGTGAATCTATATTGAGGTGATCAAATATTTGCAATGCATCCAAACAATAGGCAAATAATAATAATATTAATTAATTATATTAATCTTAGGATTACGCACATATATATTTAAGACTGGGGAAAATCTCAAATCCTCAACATTTTGAAATTTATAATTTGGAAAAGTCATTATCCAGTATCTATCCATTATCTTTTTCTATTTATAAAAACGTGGGTAATCCTATGATTAAATGATATATTCATTATATAATATAAATAAAATGTGCGTAAATTTACATAAGTTTGTTGAATTCGTATCGTTGATTTGTTGAGTATATCCGGTCTGCAAATTTGGGTTATATTCGTTTTGCAAATTTGAGTTATATTCATTTTGCAAATTTGGGTTATATCCGTTTTGCAAATTTGGATTAGATCCGTCTTGCAAATTTGGATCATATCCGTTTTGCAAATTTGGGTTATATCCGTTTTGCAAATTTGAGTTATATTCATTTTGCAAATTTGGGTTATATCCATTTTGCAAATTTGGATTAGATCCGTCTTGCAAATTTGGATTATATCCGTTTTGCAAATTTGGGTTATATCCGTTTTGCATTACATTCTTGTCGTAAAATCCAGCGATGTTGTTTACTACTGCATTCGACGATGGTATTTTCTTGTTTGCATTATTCTCTACTAATCTTTCTCTACTCATCATTTCATTGTTCTCTCTTGTTTGGGCATCTTGTATTATATTTATTTCGCGTATGTTATATACTGTTCCGTAGTTGTATACCTTCATGATTCTTTTCATGATTCTATTGGTCTTCTTTACTTGGCAATATTAGAACCAAATTTTGACTCAAAGTATATACTTTAAATCCTGTTGAATTTCTCGTAGCTTTATTGCCAACCTGTATATAACAAATTATAACATTAATAAAAATTCTGTAATTATAAGAAAATTTATTTTAATAATTACATAATTAAGTGCATCATACTATTATGATTAGTCTAGTGATTAACCATATACCATAGAAAGATAATAAGAACATTGTACAAATAAATTTATCAGCTTGTCTGAATATCCTTGTTCAGACAAACTGATAAATGCAAATGTGCGATACATGCAATATTAATTCACAAATAGGATATTAGTATAGTTGTATAATTTTTCACAATTACAATATATTTACAGTTGTATTAGTATTAATTTCAATTTCTATGGTACCCTTCAACCAAAATTAATTCTTGTACAGAAGTACAATTTATAAATTATCTGTTTATTAATTTAAACGAACTTAGAGATCAAAATTAATTCTAATATGTGAATACTGTACTTAACAAAGTTGGGATAATTATTGGATAAACACAAATTATTTGAATAAACATAATATTTGTGTTTATTCAAATTCCATTTGTTCTACAGATGATTCTTTAATTTTGTTTTTTATAAAAATATTTTGTTGCAACAATAGAACAACATTGCGCAATACTGCTGCAATCTTGTTAAAATCTTGCACTCTATAGCGTCTTAGCTTTCTATTGCATTGTAATTTTTAACATTGCAACTTTACCGCAACATAACGCGTAAATTGCGAATGATACCTTATATGACTTATAAAGTATCCATATTTACATCGTTACAAAATTTGTGTGATCATGTGTGGAATGAAGACAGAATTCAAGGCATGTTGAGACAAAGTCAAGAGTATGAGATATCTTTCATTTATATACATATTTAACAACAAGATATTGTCACTATATTATTAATCCTTAAACGCCTTTTTGATATAGTTTTTTCAACGCTTTTTTCTCTGCTTATAAATTATCTGCTTATAAATCTCTGTATTAATAAAAATACATATATTTACTCAATTTAACACCGTTATGTTTCTTATGTTTCAAATTACGTTCAAACGTTCTTATCTGACGTTTAAAAAAAAATGTTTTTACATTGTTCATTTCTCTGAAAATGATAAGCATGATCGAATTAGATTGGATATACAAGTGTATTGTTCCCGTGAGGCGTTTAAAGATTATTTATGGTAGAGAGGATTAAACAAAATTACAATAATTTACAAGAAAGTAAATTAATTTAATAAGAAGCAACAAAAGCGTACTTAAGTCTATGTTATTATATAAATAATAAGCTTATTAGAGTTAATTCAGTAAATTAGTTATAATTTAACAACTAACGAGTAATAATACTAATTATTAAACGAAATAATCGTATATATATTATAATAGCGTGTCTATGTGTTATCAACTTTAAGATTAGTGCTATTTCTTATTAATTTTAATGCATTAGTTACATTTTTACTTCTTTATATCTATTATTTAACCAGACCCATAATAATGAATCATATCTACTCACCTGTATTTAAAACATATGAAATATATTAAATTGAATCACTATATCGGTTCACTATTTATACAAAAGCATTAATTTTATATAAGAACACTTTATATAAGAACGAACTTCATTATTTCTTAAATTGATGCTGCGATGATAATAATTACAAAATAGATTGCAAGATAGATTATATTTTCGATTAGTAAAAGTTAATAAAATTAAAAGTAATTCAATTTTTCTAATTAAAAATAATTTATTTAATGAAAAGGATTAAGATTATCTGTCAACTTTGATTATAATCTATCTGTGAAATTTTTGTCACACTTTATCTTATCTTAAGATAAATTTTTCATAAACTTACAACTCAAAATTCAAAATATATTATTTTAATGATCGGATTTAAAACGGATTTAAATAGATACAAATATTCAGTATATTCGGAATACTAATAATGATACTCGGAAAGATCGGAGGAAATAAACATGACCAAAGAGATACAAAATTAAAACACTACACGCTACAACGTAACAATATAAACAAAGTTTCAGATACATCCATTTCCTGACTTATTCCATGTAAAAGAAAAACAAAATTTTATTCTTCCGGATTCTCAATGCACATTCGCTGCTGCATAACAATTACGCGCTTCCGAATCCACAGAAGCGGTAGATCCACCTGCCACTATCTTCTCCAAAAAAAGAACAACCCCGTACTCAGGCAGAAATAAGCGCCCTTCATTGCTCGCATCCTGTTCCGCGAGAGGTTCAAATTAAGTATCCCTTTTCTCTCAGTTTCGATTGACGTATCCGCGTGGTCGTACGGTACACGTCATGAGAAACGTGCAAATCGGTCCCTGTCACCCCCTCAAGCATCCATCGTCATCGTCGTCGTCATCGTCATCGTCATCGTCATCGTTATCCCCCTCTCTCAAAATTCCCCTCTCCTCGCGCTTTTTTTTTTTGCCTCTCGTTCTGTCAGACCAACTTCGAGTCCGTCCTTGTCGTCGGTAAGAGCCCGTCCTTGTCAATGGTAAACATTTCAGAATAGGTACTCCCTCCCTTCGCAATCCCCCCCTTTGGCACTTGAGAAGCGAGAGAGAACAGGGGGTCCTCTCTCGCTGTGTACCGTTATCCAGCGGCGTGGACGAGACTCTTCGTGATCGCGCGGTGGGTCCGTGCTCAAGGATCGATCGGGCCTGCTTTTTCGGTCCTACGACGATGCCTCCGTGGGCTACTTATCAATGGGATCACCGGGTATCCGTGCGATACGACAAATTCGGCCGTACCGATTTGCGGAGCCGGTGTTTACGACGTGCCCATGTTTATGGCGAACACGTTTCTCTCTGTTTAAATTTAAAACGTCGTTGAATTTGAAACTTTTAAGCCGCCACCCAAACGCAAAGAGTTCGCCCATCGAAATCCTGTTTCTCTTCCTGTATCATGAATTAATTTTCTATTTCTTATTATTTTCTTCTTGCCATTCAAACTTGTTAAATAAATCCTTTTTTGTAAACCAAATAAAATTATTTGATAATAATGATATTGTTGGGTTAATAATAACGATTATAAGTCTCTAAAAAAAGTGTTGAGACGACAGTACTTTGTAGATATTATTGACGAACAATAAGTCTCTCAATATTTCGTGAGAATATACGCTGCATTTTCTTCGATATAGATCTGACATGTCTGACCTGTAATGTCCATTTTCTACTTAGCTTCTTGTAATCTGAAATAGTCTCTTATCTATACGAGTATATTATATCTTGCAGTTTCATTCTCTTCTATTTTAGATCGTAAAAGTCAAAATCTTTGCAACTTTTAATCAACATTTAATCTATAAGTGCAATCTAATTTGACATACGAAAAATCTTTCATCTACGATTTTCATTCTATAATATACAGTGCCAAATTATATTGCAATTATTAATTCTTTTATTTTATCAAAAAATTTTTTTTCATATTAAATAAATTCCTCAGAAGCATTTTTGATTTAAAAATAAATTAATAAGCGTAGAAAGATGAAAAATTAATAAATGCATTATTATTAGCTTAATATTTCTCATGTAACAACAAATATATTTTACGATCGGATGCATTTATTTATAAATTTTATATTAAATTAAAAAAATTTTTCTCCCATCTTATTTTTATAATCTCTACAAATACTTTGAATAAACTCTTAAGCTTCTCCTCTTACATGGAGAATTCTTGATTTCTTCCAAGAAGCTTCCACCAGACTCCTACCGCAGGAGGCGGCAATCCCGGAACGAAATGTCGATCCATCGGTGCGTAGTCACGTGCTCCGTGCATGTGCACACGTATTTCGTTCGCGTGTGCGTGTCGTAATGGTGCATCGCAAGGGGGCACCCGTATTCCATTCGTTCGTTCATTCGTCCTCGCGGCTCGCATCGGGGCCCGCGAGACCGTCGGCGTCGGTCGGCGTCGGTCGGCGTCGGGGACGGGGAGAGAAGGGGGGGAGGGGGGCCTACCGCTGTCGACGTCGCCGCCGTGGTTGTTCGCGAATATCCGTGCCGTGACTACAAGCCGAAACCATACCACGCTCGCGCCTCGAGCCGCGCTCAGTGGGGCGGCCGAAGTAGGCCGGAGCACCGTTACAGCCGGCTGCACGGCCGAAGCCTACGCAAATCGACTAGATTTTGCCCGAATGGCTTTCCTTTTCGTTGTGAAAAATGGCGCGTGCGAGCCGCGATTTCCGCGCCGACCCACTTCTGCGCGAGCGACCATGCGTGCGATTTTCCTCGCGAATCCCGCATTAATAATACACGCCCTGGACCCCGTCTCGCGTGCGACAATTAGCGGAGCGTCATCATCTTCCATCTTTTTTCAAATTCTCACATCCACGTGCTTATATTTTCATGCGACGTTTCTCTGCATGTTTATATTTATATCAGTATTCCCCGTCAAAGTTTCGAGTTACACGTCGTAGTCGTGATTTACTTTTTAAAATTTAAATCAATTGTTTAGATTTAAGGCTATGACGCACAAAAAGACTTGAGCAGTGAACGAATAAAGCCAGGAACACATAGAAAAACGTACTAGGAGCTTAGCTACAAAGAACAGGTCTTATAACATACAAAAAAAACACGTAAAAAAGCAGTAAGACATAAGCAGTAAGTGACTTGGCCAGTCACAATAGAGAACGTAAGGCAATAACCTTATGTCTTCTACTATGATTGGTTGATTCACTTGCTGCTTAGGTCTTATTATGCTTTTATGCTTAGGTCTTATATCTTATGCTTTTAAACGTGTCATGAGCTTAAACATTTTGGGTTTGCTGCTTACGTTATTGCTTTATCTCTATATTGTGATTGATCGATTTGTTTACTACTTATGTCTTAC